TGTAAGTAGTAGTAGTGTGTGTGTGTGTGTGTGTGTGTGTGTGTGTGTGTGTGTGTGTGTGTGTGTGTGTGTGTGTGTGTGTGTGTGTGGAGGGAGGGGGATAGAATTTTTCTAGCAGATTTGAAGTGAATATTCTGAATTACTATACCCTGAAAATAGGGATGTTTACTAGAATACAAAAGGGTCTCCCTCTCCTTGCCTGCAGTTTTGAAGCCAAAACAAGAAAGAAGGCAGGAGATAAAAACTTGGGCCAAGATTTTAAGAGGTGACCAGTGATTTTGGGTTGTCACAGATTTTGGATGCCCCACTTGAGACACCTTCCTCTGAAAATCTAATTCTAAATGCAACTCTAACTTTTAATGTTATTAAGATTTCAAATAATAATATCAGAATGGCAGGTCGACTGCAGTGGGCTTAAATTATGACTGTGATTGCTGTAGTCTTAAGCTTTCACTTGAAATAAATAAATAAATAAATAAATAAATAAATAAGGATCAGCCCCTCTCAGGGCATGGAGTGCAGGACTCCAGACCCCTCGGAGTGGCTCCAGCCACTCTCAGGGTTTGGGGTACGGGGCTCTCGCCCTCCCTCCCACCGCAGGGAAGTTGTGGGCTGGGGCTTCTTCAGCCCCCCCCATCTCTGCCATTGCCTCCTGCCCGCCCACAGGTATGCGATTAACGCATCAAAAATTAACATATTAATTTTGATTTCAGTTAATTGCGGGCGTTAACTTGACAGACCTAGTGAGTTGTTTTTTTTTTACTAGATCATTGCTAGCTACAGAATTCTTGTATGGATTCCCACCACCTTCCTTAGTTGATGATGTGTACTTTCCATTTTAACATCATCTTAACAAAGTTTTTTGGCTGGAAAGAACAACAATAATGGTATTGTAATTTTGGTACTCTATATATTTCTTCTAAAATTGAAGAAATTCATATTTATTTTCCATACTCATTTTCTCCTTCCTAATGACATTGAGTGCAAGTGTACAACTCACTTACTGGTAATGGAGGTGACGTGCATGTATTGTATCCATTGTGAAATAGTGAGAGGTCTAGTTTCTGTTTATTTCATCCAACAAATTCTCAGTGTAATTGTGCAAATAAAAATAGTAAGATATTTCTTCCTACTTGGGGAATTTTGTCTGCAGAAGCGTCATAGGATAGTCACTGAACAAGGGGGATACTGTAGGGATTCCTAAATTCTAATTCTGACTCTGTCACTGATTCATTCAAGTCACCCATGACTTGCTTTCTGTAAGTCAATTATCTTCTGAGTCTCAAATTGCCCCTCTGTAAAGTGGGGATTAATACTTCTCTACCAAATGGGGTAATTAATGTTTTCATGTTGCTTTGACAAAGTACAGTGCTATATAAGTGCTAAGGATTATTATTATTATTGCTAGCTAATTCATGAACTGCAATTCAAAGATGCAGCTGCTTACATTCAGAAATAATCTCTTGCCAGTTAGCCAAAATATTTAGCCTTGCATACCAACCTTCAACACTTTCAGTTCTAATCTAGGCTTTACTACACACTTGCACTCAGCAAGGCCCTAACTTCTTTTTTTCTTGAAGTTGGACATTTTTGTAGGTGTGTATATATGTGCATGTACCATTACCTGCTATTATGTGGCACAGGTCAGCCTTCCTGTTCATATATTTGTATGCTCTAATGGCTAATCTAGTTGTGCTGTCCCTGTAGTTCACTGAATAGAGATTTGTGTTTTGGAAGTGGTAAGTAGGGCTGGAAAGAAAAGATTTCTATTTCACAACAAAAATTGAAGTTTCAACATTTGGTTCCACTCTGAGATGGAACAAACCCAACTTCTTTCAATTTTTTTCATCACAAATGGGGGGAGGCAGCTATCCCCAGAATAGCCAATAGCCCACGTGTAGGTCACTCAGTTGGGATGTGGGACACCCAGGCTCAAATCCCTGCTTTCCCTGATTTGGAGCACGGACTTGAACCTGGGTCTTTCACATCCGAGCTGAGCATCCTGTCTATTCAATGAATTATAAACTCATTCGCTGACTCTCTCAATCTCACCTGCAAGAAGTGTTCCACTTTGTATAAATAAATATTGATTGGGCGAGCAAGGGAGAAGGAGAGTGATTCTAGCCCAGGGATGTGGGTGACCCAGGTTTGAGTCCCTGTGCCAGAATCGGGTGCAGGACCCATCTCTTGGTTTTGACAGACTTTTGTGGGAGAGGCTTCTCAGATCCAGGATCGAATTTCTGGTCAAAACAGAAAGAGGCACCCGCCAATAGCCAGGTGGATCTCCCATACCCCAGGTGACTGCGCTAACCACCTGGCTATTGGCGGGTGCCTCTATCCCTTGTTCATAGGGACTGTTATCCTGGCTTTCACAGATTTGGGCCAAATTTTTAATGGGCTCCTTAATTGTTCCCACTTATCGCCATATGCAAGATCTATGGTTTCATGTGCAAATTGGCAACTGCACGACCAGTTACCCCTTATGGATGTGTAAATGAACAGTTAAGGAGGCTCACTGAAAAATTTCCTCTTGATTTAGATTTTGTATCTTACTGCTCATGAAACCAGAGAATGAAGACCCTACTCAAAGGAGTTTACTGGTCAGCATTACTCATCCACATTTCCATCTACATGATTTATTTGCAATGTTAACATCCCCAGTGAAGTTAGTGAATTCTCTGCACTTCTTCCACAGGAAAATCAAGAAGAGTTCCAGAAACTCATCTTGGACCATAATGAAATGGTCAAAGCCCAGGTGAGAATGAACAAATAGTGAACTTGTAATGCCTATCATTACATCTGTGAACACCATCTCTGAAGAAGCCTGTGAATGTGAACAGCTGTAGGGCAGTTTCTGGGGAGCACAAGCCCAACACACATACACAGATCCGCTAAGTGCTGGCAGTAGGTAAATTAGTTGCCACTTTTCCTATGTCAGTAGGATAATCCTGAATTCTTTGTGTTTTGATGTAAGACTGACAATGATTCATTTTAATGGTCCTTTCTGCAAGTCTCATTAAAACATTTGTGGGGGTTGGCCACAAAGTAAGATTTCACCACCTTTCCCTCCTCCCCACACACACACACATAGAAAGTGGATTTATGTCTTGAAATCATAAACTGATGAACAGTAGGCTTCTCTGGCAATGCAATTCTTCAAGAGGACTTCAAAGGGAATGTTTGGGGGAAACATATTACTCCTGCAAGGAGCCCCTTTGGATCTCTTCATCTGTCATTTCTCATTGTCAGTCTAATACAGTGTTTGCATAGGGAAGAGTCTATTGTAAATTTACTTTGCCAGCCTCTAGTCATGTCCAAAAATGGATTTGACTCGTTGTAAGAGGAAATCTGCTGAATTAACAAATTAGAAGTTTCTGACATATTCCTGAGTAGTTGCAGATAGTTAGTCTTCATTTGGTAAAATAAGAAAGTGTATGAATTCTAGCTTTAGGCATATCATTTAGTTTTGGATTTGCAAGTACATAGTCTAATATTACTTTATCTACTTCATTCCAATGTATAAATCCATACTAACCTAAATTCAGTCATGTGCCAATTACTCAAGTCTTCACTTGTCTTAAAGAAATTGTTTTTGTACAAATTGTAAGCTGAAGTGCATATTAAAAATGGGTAAAAAAGTAATGAACAAGCAATCCGAAAGCTTTTGTTCTTGGATACCCTTCCCCTCCCAGTTTTCCCTCCCTATTAAGCTGCTTTCTTGAGATTCATTTCTGCTTGTCTTGCTCTGGGCTACTGTTTATACGGGCTGTGAGTTTTCAATCATGCTCATTTCAGGTAAGATTGCTGGTATAGGGAATGTGAGTGCAAAAGATGCATCTTTCTGTTCATAAAACTACAGTATCATGCCAAGGGAGAGAGGAATTTTTAAAAAGTGTTTTCCATGGGTTCTGTTCCTCTCATTGATCTAGAAACATCTTTACTATTGCATTGATAGGAATTCTTTCCCAGAAGAAGAAGGTGTTAAACAAAGAACTCCTTTCAACGTAATGAAAAATCATAAAGGTAGGACATCAGACTGGTTTACTTGTAACATACCACATGCTTTTCCTGTTTGTTTCAAAAATCTGGGAATGCCTGTGGTTCAGATGCACTGATGTGTTTCTTACATTCGTACTTTCCATTTATAAGGTTGTGGCTCATTTACTAAACATAAAAGGCCGAATTCTATCTGCCTAACTCATAAAAGTTGTTCCATGGACTCCAGTGGGAGTAGAGCAGGCAGCATATGGCCCAAACTGAAATGAATACAAGTGTCCCCTTTTATTTGTATAATTCAGTTATGTGTGGGGGATGAGGGTTGTTTTCTTTGTGTTCTGCAAATAGGGATTGCATGCAATGTGTACAGCAGAACATAGTTAATTGTTTCTGTCTGTCCTTTAGAATTGCATTTTTCCAATGAGACTAAAGAAAGGCATTGCAGTCATGGTAAGTCAAGATCTATATCTTTGTACTGATAGAACATGTGAACTTTATGCAAAAGGTGGCACTGCTTTAACAAATTTTATATAATGTGTATGCAATTTTCTTTAGGGAATGGAGTACCATTAGGCCCTTAATAATGAAACATGGTTTATTAAGTAGCCAGAAGTTTTATGAATCCATCAATAATGAGTCAGCTATGCAAAGTAAGCCTCAAGCACAAAGTTAGACATTGTTTTGTTCATATTCTACTGTTAATATTTGAACATTCATTGATCTCAAAGCCCTTATGGTTTTTCTTCTGGTTATACCACTGATGGTCATGTAGACAGTTTTTCAAGGACAGATATAGTTTCTCCTTTTGCATACAGTTGTTCTTATGGAATGGCCTTTTAAACTTTAAATTTTTGGGTGCTCAACGGTCATACAGGATATTAGTTCAGTGCTTAACCCTTCCTGATCAAGTAATATCTGTTCAGGAATACAATATTTGTGGTTCTTTTGTAATGTAGAATGAAATACTTAAATATAAAATTAGACACACACTCAATAGTTTTTTTTTCCCTTTCAACCTGCATTTACACTTGTTTTATATCCCTCACCACCATTAGCCATCCAGAATTCCATTCAACTATAAATATATCATTGTACAGGCAGACCTCTTTGTTGCTATATCCAGGTGAAATTATGTGAAACCCAGAACAGTGCACACATGGCTGCAAGGACATTTGGCTTATTCAGGGATACAGTCAGCTGACTATCAGGCAAAAACAAAAGAAAGCCTTAGGGTGTTGCAGAGCTGCTCAGGGGATGAAGAGATAATCAACATGAGCTCTGGGCATCCCACACCTTAGAACATTACTACTACCTTTACAGTGTCTAGTGCTCTTTTCCCCTCTGCCTAACTGAGGCTGTATTGTCTCTGAGAGTTATTTTGGGAGATGGAGACAAAGTGCTGCTTAGGGGTGAAGAATTTTCAACCCAATGGGCCTCATCTCCTCTCTGCTCCTCTCTAAGCTTGGAGGTCAGCCAGGGAGATGTCAGTTCCAGACCAAGAACATTCCTATCCTGGCTGACTGACACCATGATTTCACCCCTCTCATAAGATTTTTCTTTGAAAGGTTCCCCTCCCTCCAGCTGCTTTAATTCTTAAGGCTATTAGTGATTTCTCAGGGAATAATCATACATCCTGAAAGGATCTGTACTTTACACAGGCCACATAGCATCTTGGGGAACTCAGGAGTGCTTCTTATATCCTTTGAACACTTACTTTCCCTCAACCCTCTATGCTGTACGTTTTGAATATGACCTGTTCTCTTGGGAATTTGGCCCAAATTCTGCTCTCAGTTAAACCAGGATAACTCCGGAGTAACAGCATTAACTCTATTTACAACAATGTATCTGAGGACTGAATTTGGCCCTTTTGTGTTACTCTCCAGTTAAATTCACCCTCGTGGACAGGGCCCACACAGGGCTCTATGAACTATTTAAGCCTCCTTAAGCCGTATATTAAGCTTCCAGATTTGCTCAGCTATTTGAGGGAAAGAGTTTACTGGCTGGAATGTTTGCAGAAGCAGCCAGTTATAATTGAATATTGGAGAATATTCAGAAAAAGCAAATCTTGAATTTGTAAACATGCCAGAAATCTGATTCTAATGGATCAGATTAAAATAGTTGCAAGAAACTTGTTACAGATGAGCTACAGGCAAATAATAATTCACAGAAATCATTTGTCAGATAATGCAGAATAATGAGTGTGTTTGAGAAAATCATGATCTTTATGGATTGTCCACAAACAGAAAAGAGATGCAATTTGTTGAATGAGGATTCTTTATAAATTATTGGCCCTGCTGTACAAATGACCCATGAGTCCGGATGTCACCCACGTGATGAGTTCTTTTGAGCAGTAAGGGTGTTTCCAACAGATTGATTTTTTCCTGGCAACTACACATATATAAGCCCTGCACACAGGCTGGTACATACCTAAATTGGCTGTGAATTTCTGTCATTAAACTCATGTAAATTTAAATTAATCCATTGGAGACAGGATTTTCTGACCTTAATCCTTAAACTTTCAACACCTTATTCAGGCTTCTAGTTTTGTGACTCCTACTAAAGTCATTGGGCAGAAAATGGTAAAAACCCTGCACAGGTCTGAAAATGGACCCCAAGTGCCAATACCAAATCCATTAATGCCTTGCAGCAACGGACTCAGCATGGCTATGAGTTAATAAATCTCACCATTGATCATTTAACAGCCTGCCAGCAGTTACTTGTTATTTTAAAATGTCCATATGTTTCACAGTTTTTTCTTTGATGCCTTCTTGGAACAGATAAAGATACCCTATCTCATATCAGGCAGATCTTCACTAGCCCACCTTTGGACCTGAATCCTAAATTTAATCCAAAGATCAAAGAGTACTACACCGAAGTCCCATTTGATGTGGTGACAGTGAAGATTGGAGCAGAACCCTCTAACTGTCAGTGCCAGGTGCACCTTGATGAGAGGAAAGGACCAAGGTATGGGGAAAAAATGATCCTGTAAGCACAGAGCTGATTCTTAATATTGGAGAAATGGCAAGGATGGCAGCCACCTCTCCATTTCCAAGAGAACAAACTATTTAGGAATTAAGATTACAAAAGGAGATTTTAATGCCCAGACATTTACTCCTTTAGATTTGTATTTATTTATCAATGTATTAAACTCCAGTTAACAAAACCCCAAACTGTTAGAATCTCCCTCCAGCTTCTACATAAAACTACTCACACCAACAATGGTCTGAGTGTACACGGGGAGCATGGTTGTTGGTAAAATATTCAGGGCCCAAATTATATAAGCTAAACAGCACTGGATCTCATCAGTAACTGAACAGAAGATTTTCAAGGTGAACCCAGGAGCTGCTGGAAGTGGCTATGGTGATTCACTTGGTACAGCCCTTCTGTCTTAGTCAGTATAGGGCCAGCATTCCACCATGGTGTAAAGGACCTATTGGAGGTGCTGCCTTTGGTGGTGTATAAAACAGAGGACCTGAGCAGTTGTGGTCATTGAAGGTCTTATGGTCCTTTCTGCAAAACTATGGGGGTTTGTCCTGGTGTCCTGGCCAATATCTTTTATTATTAATCTAATACTCTTCCTGTGATTTCTATTAGAGAAGTTATTCTTGACTTCTCATTAAAAAAAAGAATGAACACAAAACCCTGTCACATAACATTTTTGATTTAGGCTGGCTGCCACAGGACACCCCAGAGTTGCGTGCATGGAGTGATCGATACACATATAGACATGTATGTTATATAATAAGAGTTTTCAAAATAGTTTGAGAGCCTTCTGAACAAAAGACGTTATATAAATATTTATTAAGAAGTAAAAGCATTAAAAGTTCAAATTCTGTTAGTTCCAACTGTTCTTAGTTCACTGCAGAGCAAAAACCTCTCCGGCACTGCTCTTGTCTATCATGTTAAATGGTTTATTTGGGACTCCATCATTCTTGGACAGTGCACAATTTTGAGGGCTAGCTAAACCTTTCAATCTCATTTGTCTCCCTCCTCACTTCATCACTGATTTGAAACTGCAAGAAACTATTGTCCCTAGTTGCATCATTCACAATTTTCTTGTCATAGTTGCCTGACTGACTTGCCAACTCTGAAGCTCTCTCTTCTATCTAAGTTGCAAGCTAAAGTAACATGACATTTTTAGATTGTTTCTGGCACATTTTTGCTTTATTTCAAGATTTTTTTTAAAAATGCCTTTGCAAGCCATACTTTACGTAGTTATTCATCTGAAACCATGGAAATGAACATTATTAATAGAAATCTTAAAAGCTGAGGTCCATGTAAATTGCAGAGGAAAGTACTGTTCAAATCTTGACTGATTTAACATTGGGCCTATCACTTTCTATTGTTGTTTTCCCTTGCAGTGTTGCTAACTACCCCCTCGGCCTGGGAATTAATAAAATCGCTATTCTAGTAACAGATAACTCGCATTCCAACTCCGAGGTTTTGAGCAACTATAAAATCACTGTCTATCGAGAAGACCGCCCGAGTCTGCCTTTGTTTGAGGACTATATGGTGTGTGGTTTTGTGCAGGTACTGTTTGCTTTTTCTTCAAATATACACTTTATATATGTATATGGCCTGATTATGATCTCACTTACACTGGTGTAAATCAGAAGTAACTGAATTGAAGCCAACATGGAACCTGTTTCGATTACAATGAGGTCCCCTAACTCTTTGGAAATTCTCAATCCATATTGTATAAAATAGGGGAATTATGAAGTTTTTTGGCTATAAATATAAATTGTACATCAGTAGCTTTTGTACTTTGTATGCATTGGAAAACTCCAAGCTAAGTTACCATGACCTTGGTCAACTGAAATCCTACTTGCCACGATATTGTGTCTTTCTTTGTAAGAAGCATCAGAGTTATCAGGACAGTAAAACAGATGTAGTAAAGTTTCTGTAACTATGATCATCTGTGGAGTTGATGGCAATGTTTTGATCGTTATGATTGTGATTATGTATTCATTTATTCTTTGCTTAGTGCTGACAGTGAGGTCAGTTCTGGTCAAGATACAGATGTCAAAATGATTTATGAATGAAAAATGTATAGTCTAGAAGACAAACATATAAAGTGAAAACACACAGGGGAGGCCAAAGGAAGGAATGACCTTAGCTTAGATTTTTTTAAGTGTGTGTGTGTATGCAAATGCATTATATATGTATGCAAATATATATTGTATGCAAATATATATCTAATGTATATATGGATCCTTATGGAAGCATTGAGCCTTTAGAAGGGATCTGAATGAAGAAAATCTTAGGGTCTGGCACACTGCAGTTGGAAGGACATTTCATACATAGGGGTCAGCATAGAAGATGAGAGTAGGAAAATTAAAATAAAGGGGCACTGAGGTTTCATTGTTAGTGGAGCAAAGGTGGTAAAGGAGAATGTGCTAGGATATGAGATCTGAGATGTAGGCCAGGACAGCTTTGTGCAGGTCTTTGAAGGCTGAGCACTAGAAGTTAAAACTTGATATGGTGGGGAAGGGGAAATCAGTGGAGAGATTCCAAGAGGAAAGTGACAATAGGCAAGAAAGATAACTTGGTTTGTGGAGTTTTGAATAGATTGAAGAGTGGGGAGGTGTTATAGGGATCCCAGAGAGATTATTTCAATAGCGCTAAATTATATTATCGCAAGCGGGCAGGATTGTAAGCAATAGGGCTTTATTAAACTCAGCATTGTGGGCTCAGACTCTGCCATTTCTATTTGTATCACAAAACTTCTTGACTTACACCAAATATCCCCCTTTTAAAACCTGATTCTTTTTCTCCAGTTTTTCTCAACATACTACAGAGGAAGTTAGAGTAATCAAAGTGGGAGCTGACACATGTTTTAGATTTTGGGACAGAAAAGGGTGTAATTTTAAAAGAAAAGGTATTGTGAAGAAATAAGCAACAAGGCTTGCAACAGCAGCAAGGAGAGGTTGTCAGTGTTGTTGGGAAATTGTGTAGTTGGCAGTAACGAAGTCAGTCCACAGGGTCCTTAAAAAACAAAATCATCAATGCAAATGTATGGTAAAATTCTCTTCTCTGATTCTTATATGTAACCAATGCAAAATATTCTATAAACCCACACTATAGGTTGAAGGGGATAATTTTGTTCTCAGATTGAAATCAAATCCAATCCCAGAGGAGAGTCTCTGATATGGAGCCAGAGTTCAGCCTGGCATGTTCAGAGATATAATAACCAAATCTTCACTGAGCTTAACATCTATGTTTCTAATCTAATCTGTTGCTTTATATCATGTACCTGCATCATGAAACCCAGGCACTGTTTCCACAAAGGTGAATTATGCCGGCTAGTGTTCCACACATTTTGAATTAATTTGTTGTTGGAGCTTTTGTATAGTTTTCAGGAAATCCAGTGATGCTATAGGAGTGAGCAATTGACTGCAGAATATAAATAACCTTTTTCTTTATATTGCCTGATGAGGCCTCTTTCTTTGTAGGTGGTCTGTTCTACAATTAGGGATTGTTTTTAGTGTTCTTTTTTGGAGACGTGTTATTTTCTTAATCTTTACTAAAAAGGACCCAAAATTGATTCTGACTGGGTCTTCTTTTCCTCATTAAGTTTTGGCATGTTGAAAAGTATGATTATGGAAAAGTTTTGGCAATAGTTACTCTTTCAGTAACTAAAAACAGGTATGTAGTCTTGAAATAAGTTTAAATGCACAAGTGATATAAAAGGCGTGGAAGTGCGCCTATCAGTTTTCTTGATGTATAGTAGTGCCGATTTTCATAAATCCTACTTGCCTGAATTAAGGCAGTGATGTACTTTCATAAGTGATAAGGGTAGGGAGCAAATTACAGTCAGGAGAGGATTAAGAGTTGCTCATGAGATCTAAGCCAACACAGCATTTGAAGGTGGCCCAGTGACTTGCCTGATGTCAGTAGTGAATCGGAGTAAAACAGGAGAGCAGCAGTGGGAGGGTATATCATATGCTACTTGGAAACCAGAATTGTCTGTGAAGATGAGAAAAGCCACTCCTATCACCCATCTTGAGCATATATCTGGTTCCAGGAATAGGAATTTGTGCTAATGTATGTTCTCCCACATTACAGTTTACACTGTTGTTAAAGTTTTATTTTAGTATGTATGCGCCCTCATGCCATATCTTTGAAGCACTGTTGAGAGATCTGGAATGCTTAACATGAAAAGTGCTGTATAAGTTCCTTTTGCTTGAACTGCATTTGTATGCTCATATGTGAAAAGCTTTTTCCTAATTAAATGTATCATGTAATTGTTCAGAGCTATGGAGGTCTTTAATAGCTAAAAATAAATATGAGAAGAAAAGCATTTTTGAGGTATCTAATGGGGATTGTGAAGATGCAGCATGTGATTATAAAGAAGCATTTCTTTTTAGGTATGTTGAAGGCAAACATTTCAGAAACTATCTTATTAAATCTAAAAAACCCAAAGTTATTAAGGTTTCGAACTGGAGGTAAAAATGGCATCGTAAAAATGCCAAGATATTGCATTTCTTTTTTGCTTCATCCGTATTTGCTAGAGCAAACACTCTTTTGTTTATGGTGATTTATTGATAGGAAACATATTTTAAGTGCTCCAAATATTATAATTATATTACACTTTCTGTATTGGAGTACATTACACACACAGGCAGCATTTGTTATAGTCACTGTTCAATGGCTTCCATGCTTGTTCTCTTAGTAACCAGACACCTGTTCCAGAAGCAAAAGGATAAATACACTGTGAACTGATAGATTCTCCTTTGGATACTTGACTATGCACAACTGGGATCATGCCTAGGAAGAGAAAGGTCAATGACAGTGGTGTGGTCTTTCTCACAGTAGGCTTCAGTTAGAATTCTAATCCAGAGACTTTTTTTAAAAACTTTCTTTTATGTTTAATCCCGTTAGGATATTCAGGTTTCACTGCAAGCTGATACCATGATGAAGGTTACAATACAAAGACAGAGCTAGAGATGTTGTTTCCAGTCTTCTAACAATTCTCATGCATCTGAGTAATCCTGGATTAAGTTCAAGGCTATTCAGTTAAGAAGTGTGTGGTTCCGAGCCTCACATTCCCTCGGAGTACCAAATTATTGTCCTTTCTCCTTATTGATAGCAGCCAGAATGTCCTCATTAAAACCAAATTAGTAGGGGATAAACTGTAAATGAAAAGCTTGTTGGTTTGTTTTTGTTTGTAATTTCATTTTATTGGTGACAACATTCAAAGTATTTGAATTTGGTTGCGTGGCACCATTGCTATATTCCTAATGGCCTTGTAATCTCTATGTAGGCAATGTACAAAAAGAGCAAGTGGAACCAATAGGTTGTTTCCATGAGACAGGGATACCACTATAACCCCCATACGGCAGAGCCTAACATTAGTTATGCACTGTCATAATGGTCAGAACTAATGTATGGAAATAACCAGAGTATCTCTCCATTTATTATGTTGTGCATTATCTTTAAAACACATAGCAATTTATTTATGTATTAGAGTAAAATGTTTTTAATGTTAATTACCTCTTTCATTTTTAATACTGGTGTAGCTAGAGTTCTGGACAGTGACTGGTGACATGCAAAGGTTAGAAGCCACTCTGTGACGCCCTGAAAATTTATATCTACAGTATCATGTTAATATTTTTTGTGCACGTTCATTTTCTTAATAGCATTAGCTATTCTTTTTTGGTTTTGTGCTGAGAGAAATGAATAGCCAATACACTATTTGCTAGTTACAGTGTATCATTATCCTTGTCCCTGCATTTCTGTGAAACATAATAATACTATAAAGAATTAGTACTGTACAGTGGTTCCATTAAGTAAGTTTCTATTAATTTGAAAGTTTTTACTGGTATATGAGAGATTTCCTATATTTATAATGAGAAATAGCAGCAGGACCAGTAAAATCTTTCCAGATGGTAGAATCTTCTTAAGTGCACCCATTGTATATAGATGCTGTTATATCGTATCAGTTTAGCTATATATAAACCTATTTACTTGTATCTGTTTACTATAACTCATATAGCATGACAAGTCTAGTAGGTAGTGATCATACAATATGATACAGTGATTACAGCTGTAGTGGTTATACAACACTAGATGCTTTCAGAAACACACTGTGGGGCCAGACCTGCCCATTGAAATCATCTGCAAAACTCCCATTGGCTTGAATGGGAGCAGGACCAAGCCCTAAGAATAATAATACCGAGATCTTACACAGCACTGCCTGTAGGTCACTAAGTGCCTTACAAAGGAGGTGAGTACATTTGTAAATTCATTAAAATCATTTTGGTTGTTATGTTAGGTAATTAAACTATGTATATTTCATTGTCAGTCCAAACAGGGAATTACCTGGCAAGGCAGTGTGTTTTGCTACATTTTAAATGAAGCGTGCTTTTACAGATAGACAGCATAACCAAGTCAGTTATATAAAACAACAGTAATACTTTTCACTGAACACCTTTCAGTTGAAGTTCTCAAAGTGCTTTACTAATATTAATTCCCACAACAACCTTGTGAGATAGACAGGAGTATTATCCCCATTTTGCAGAGAACTTATCTGAGGTATAGACAAACTCAGGCCTGGTCTACACTACACAGTTAGGCTAACCTGAAGCAGCTTACATCGACCTAATTATGTCAGTGTACACACTACAGCCTTGTCCCACCTGTCCCACAGGACCCTCTGTTTCTTTTTACAGGTGCCTAACAGTCCCTGGAATCACAGTTAGTTTCCTCCCCCCTCTCCCTCCCCTCCCAAAGTGCCCTACTACACCGACATAATAACTCCATCTCCACAAGAGGCATAGGGCTTATGTCGGTGCAGTTAGGGTGACGCAGTGTCTGTGTAGACATTGTGCTAATATAGGTTGTAAGTTTTTAGTTACCATATAAGTTTTTAGATACCATGCTCCTGTCAGCTAATTCCTAAGTTATCAGCGCCAAAAAGGCCCCAAAACCCTAGAATTTTCAGGTGACTTGTGTCTGATGAAGTGGGCATTCACCCACGAAAAGCTTATGCTCCAATACTTCTGTTAGTCTTAAAGGTGCCACAGGACCCTCTGTTTCTTTTTACAGGTGCCTAACAGTCCCTGGAATCACAGTTAGTTTCCTCCCCCCTCTCCCTCCCCTCCCAAAATCTGAAATGGCACTCTAGTGAGCCAGGAGCGGCGAGAGGGCTGCAGGAGGAGTGTGGGCTCTGGCAAGATGCAGCCCCAGTGTGACAGTGTGAAGCCTGCCTTGAGCACATGCCCAGCAGCAGCGCAGAAGTAAGGGTGGCAATATACCATGCCACCCTTACTTCTGCGCTGCGGGTGGCAGTGGCGTTGCCTTCAGAGCTGGGTGCTCGGCCAACACCCACCGGTATCAGGCCACTGTGCCAGTGCTTAACATGTACCAGGGCTGCTTCTATTTCAATACAAATTAAACACTGGGGAAGGCAGCGGGGCCCAGAGGTGATTGCAGGGGGAGAGGGAAACCCAGGGAGCCCATGGGGGCCGGAGGTGAGGGGGGCAAAATACAATTTTTCCCAGAGCGCCATTTTCAGTAAGGCTGGCCCTGACCATAGTCTTTCTCATCACCATCACCAGTGGCCATCATTCTGGCACCTCCCAAGGGCTCCCTCCTACTGCCCACAGTCTGGGATGCAACTTTTATAATATGTTACACTAACGCCCCTATATCTAATGCATGTTCAGAAGGGTTTTTTCCCCCTTTTCCTTATTTGTATTTCCTCATCCTACTAATGCTGAGGTGTCCTCCTTTTATAAGTTAGTATATTGATACATGTAACTGCCATTTCAGCTCATGATCCTATTCATCACCCCTTGATTAAGTGGATTTATGGTTATTACTGCAATGTTCCTTGCAGTAGCACTAGTTGTTTCAGATCATATTATCCTTGTTTTGTTAGTTGGTTTCACCTGTATCTTTGAGTTTTCTGTGTAACATTTGCCGCTTCTCAGGAAGTAGAATGCAGAGGGGCATGATCCTGTGTGGAATATAGAATCATCACTATTACAGTCAAGAGCCTACATGTGCCCTGGAACTAGTGTGGAAATAGATTGCTGGAAAGGATGGGCAAGGAATAACCTGCCACATCTTTACGGTTTTGGATGATCTAGGACCAAGAGTAACAATATGCTGAATATTCAGTGATTTTTCTATTGTTCACTAATGAGTGAAGTGTCATCAGCTAACTCATTTCACTTACGATCAGCAGCCAGAGAAAGGATTAACTCGCTTAGCTCATTTAAGTTATTTTAAAAAGAGATCCTTTGGTATACAGCTTTTAGTCTCCTTTTCTCCTCCACTCCCTTTTCTTAGGCAGCATTGTTGTAGTGAGGACTTATAATTAGCAATGATCTCACTTTTCATTACAGTTGAGGCCCGTGAGCCTCATTCCTTGCTGCACCTCATAGCTCAGTATTGCAGTTTTTTCTTAAATATCCCCTCTTCTTCCTTTCCCTCTTCTGCATGCCTCTGCTCCAGCATGCTCCCTGCCATGCCTAATGATACTGTTGCTGAGACTCTTGACCTGACTGATGGTTTGGTTTTTTAACTTACATCCTTCTGCTGTTAGTCTTACGGTGCAATGTAAAAATGTCTTTAGCATTTCAAGATGATGCATGAGAATGGGATCAGAAAATACAGATATTGAAAAGACCCAACAGATTGATTCCATTCTTTGGCATGCTCATGATATTGTCCCACAGATAAAGGATTTGTCAGATATTAAATAGATACTATACTTCATAGAAATATAGAATATCAGGG